GCGCTCTCCGCTGACTGGCCTTCCCCTTCCCCGGCCCCGTCTTCCTGCGTGACGCCCTCCTTCCTAGGTCTGAGAGCTGCCACGGCCACCATGGGGGACTGGGGGGAGCCCGAGCTCCTAGTGTGGCGCCCAGAAGCGGTGGCTTCGGAGCCTCCAGTACCCGTGGGGCTGGAGGTGAAGTTGGGAGCCCTGGCGCTGCTGCTGGCTCCGCTGACTGGCCTTCCCCTTCCCCGGCCCCGTCTTCCTGCGTGACGCCCTCCTTCCTAGGTCTGAGAGCTGCCACGGCCACCATGGGGGACTGGGGGGAGCCCGAGCTCCTAGTGTGGCGCCCAGAAGCGGTGGCTTCGGAGCCTCCAGTACCCGTGGGGCTGGAGGTGAAGTTGGGAGCCCTGGCGCTGCTGCTGGCCCTCACCCTGCTCTGCAGCCTGGTGCCCATCTGTGCACTGCGGCGACCTGGAGCTGGCCACGAAGGCTCCGGTGAGCGCCTCCGCTCCGCCTCAGGTCGCCTGGGGGAGGAGAGGGCAGGAATAGCCTGTGCTGAGGTTGGGATCCGGTCTTCATTTGCTCTGCTCTGCATTCCTCGCCAGCCTTGCGTCAGAAAGCCCTGAGCCTAGTGAGCTGCTTCGCTGGAGGTGTCTTTCTGGCCACCTGTCTCCTGGACCTGTTGCCCGACTACTTGGCTGCCATAGATGAGGCCCTGGAGGCCCTGCATGTGACAGTGAGCCTGAGGGTGGGGAGGGGATGTGTCACTAATGGCTTATTTTTTTATTTTTATTTTTTGGCAGCAGGGATCAAGGGACCTTGCACTGGAGAGGTAGGCAACAGAACCACCGAGCTAAATCCCCGGCCCCTTCATGGCTTCTTAGATCGGCTAGCTCTGTAACTGTGGGAGGTCCTTGACATAGGATCCTGTTACCTGTCATTTTCAGTTACAGGCAGAACTTCTTTTTTTTTTAAACTGGGGATTGAACTTGGGACCTTGCCCTTGGGAGCAGGCACGGCACCAATGAGCTAAATCCCTGTCCCGAGTTCCATTCCCCCACACCAGCCTCTGTGACCCCTGCGTACCTCTTTTTTTTGTTGTTTTTTTGAGACAGGGTCTCACTATGTAGTTGGAGACTGACCTGGAACTCACTATGTAGCCCAGGCTGGTCTCAAACTCACAGCGGTCCTCCTGCCTCAGCCTCCGGAGTGCTGGGATTACAGGCGTGCACCACCACGCCCGGCCCTGCTACCTCTTGAGACAGTGTGAAGACACCCACTGGGTGTGTGACCTCTGTGCATGTTTTTCACTTCCGGTCACCAGGATGTTACCAGTGCTCCAGGAACACTCTCGAGCACTTGCAGGGCTGGAGAGAAAGTTCACTGCAGGACTGGGAAGGGTAGGGGCAATTCCCAGCAACCTGATACTGTTGACCGAAAAGGCTTTAGCCCAAATAATTAGGATGTAGGCAGTGATCACATCCAACATGTAGGAAATCTCATTATAAAATGAGGTAGGTGGATAGTGGTGCAGGGAAGTCAGCCAGAGCTTGAGTTTGCTCTTCTTTTTAAGCCCCAAGACTGAGGAAGTAACATGGGCTATAACCCTCTGTGCATCTGTGACTGAGTGGCCTGTGTCTGTATCAATGTCTAATGTCTCTGTGACACTGTGGCTCTGTGTGAGCATTTGGGAAAATGGGCCCATATGTGACCTTGTGTTTTTGCACCCAGGGAACATTTGATAACTTCTGGAAACATTTTCGGTTGTCACAGCTGGGTTGGGGAAGCGGCATTGTTATACTTGTTCCTGGCATCGGGTGAAGGTCAGAGATGCCACTGTATAACCTACAGTGTAACTATAGAACTGTCTGGCCCAAAAAGTTAGTAGTGCCAGTGCTAAACAATTTTGGTTTATGTGTAGCATTGTGTGTGACCCCATAATCTTTTCAATTGTGTATTGTTCTGGTCTCTGAGTCACTTTGTCGTTGTATGAGTATGAATGGCTCTGTGTGAGACTTGTGTTTGTAACTGGGCCTCCATCAGATCTTGTCCTGTCTCTAAATGCTTTTCTGCTGCCTCTGCCCACAGCTCCAGTTCCCCTTGCAAGAGTTCATCCTGGCCATGGGCTTTTTCCTGGTCCTGGTAATGGAGCAGATCACATTGGCTTACAAGGAGCAGTCCGGGCCGCCACATCAAGAGGAGACAAGGGCCCTGCTGGGAACCCTGAATGGTGGGCCACAGCACTGGCCCGATGGCCTGGGGGTCCCCCATGCAAGAGGAGCTCCGGCAGCCCCTTCGGCCCTGCGTGCCTGTGTACTGGTCTTCTCCCTGGCCCTGCACTCGGTGTTTGAGGGACTGGCAGTGGGGCTGCAGCGAGACTGGGCTCGGGCCATGGAGCTGTGCCTAGCTTTGCTGCTCCACAAGAGTATCCTTGCTGTCAGCCTGTCCCTGAGGCTGCTGCAGAGCCACCTGCGGGTGCAGGTGGTGGCTGGCTGTGGAATCCTCTTCTCATGCATGACACCTCTGGGCATTGGGCTGGGCGCTGCTCTGGCAGAGTCGGCTGGGCCTCTGCACCAGTTGGCCCAGTCTGTACTGGAGGGCATGGCAGCTGGCACCTTCCTTTATATCACTTTCCTGGAAATCCTGCCTCAGGAGCTGGCTTCTTCTGATCAGAGGATCCTCAAGGTCATTCTGCTCCTAGCAGGTTTTGCCCTGCTCACTGGTCTGCTCTTTGTCCAAATTTAGGAGTCTTCAGTCTAGGGGTAGGGGAGGCCGCCTCCCGGGAGCTTCTGGCCTTCCCACCCCCACGTGTGGAGAACAGAAAGGAATGGGGACGGGAGGTACAAGGGTAGAGTTCTCTGGGAGGTAGAAATGGAGCCTTTGGGATTATATCTCATGAGGGAAGTGAGCGGAGAAGAGGCTGACCCCAGGCCCCAGCAGCAGGAGAGCCAAGTCACTAAAGACTTGGTCAGGGGACATTAGCATTGAAGCTGACCCTGAGCAGGGTTAGAGGTCATGCGCTACTCACGGACAAACGCACTGAGGAGGCTGGAGGTGGGTGGGCACCTGCCACTGTGGGATGAAAACATGGAGAGGCCAGGGTCTAGAGTCAACATCCTGTTTGTTCTAGCCTGTTTGGCACCCTGTCACTTGCAGTCGACCCTTCCTACTTACATCCTACACTTCTTTCTCGCAGGGGCACTAGTGCCAAGTCTCTCCCTGCCAATTTTGATACCTTTTCTGGCCTCTAGCCCTATTCCTCTATTTTTAAAGTGCCAAACTTTTTCTCAAAGCACAGAGATGTGGCAGTGGGCCCTGCCCAGCACCTCAGTGGAGGGTACCTACTTGCTCTTGTGGTTCCATATTTGGGGTGGGGCAAAACTGTGGCTGGGCTGGTTTGAGGGGAGACCTGTGACCACCTACTGCTGCTGCACCCTAGGAATAGGGAAGGAACATGGACATGGTGCCCCATGCCTAGATATTAAACACAGAGCTGCCAAACATTTTTTATACCCAGTGAGCCCAGGGGGAGGGAAATGTTCCCCGGTCCCAGGGTTATTTTTGGGGAGGGAGGGCTGTGTATAGGCCATATTCTCTAGAATCTATTTTACTAACCTGTTTTGGGACATATTAGCCAAATAAAAGATGTTTCTATGCAACTTTACGTTATCAGCTTCATTTGTCTTGGGACAGGTGGGCACGTGGCCAGCCCGAGAGAACTTGAGTCCCAGATGTGCACAACACAACTCTTTTAACATCCTTGGTTTTATTGTTTTCACTTGGCCCCAACAGTGCCCTTTCCTGAAGATGGCCAGAGCTTTCCTCTGTCTCTTCCTTCTTCCCTGCCTGCCTCCACCCCTTCCTTTCCCCTTCTTGACCTCCTTCCTCTCCCCTCCTAATCCCTCTCCCCTTCACGTCCGTCAGTTTGACGTGGATTTGGAACTACAATTCCCAAGCTGCCTCGCGCGCGAAGCGTCCTGTCTTGCGGAGCCCGCGGGCCTGCCGGGAAGTGGAGTCCGCTTCCTCCCTGCGCTGTATACCCGCGGGCCTGAGTGGGTCACGTAAACAAACTACGGGTCCCGGCGGGCCGCGCGCGGCG